GTTCAGAAATGTGACAGCCACTGATAATTATTCTTTGGGCTATCTCTTCACATCCTGTCAGAGATCTGTTTCTGTCTTTTCCAGAAACTTGTGTATCACAAGTGACTTGTTCTTCCCTTTCTGGCCCTTCTCAACTTAGTTTCCTGCTTACTGTTCCATAACTGCTTAGCCCACAAAATGGCCATGATCATGTAGCACAAATAACAACTGAGAAGCCTTAAGTAGTCAAAAATTCCTTAAAATACAGGTGCAAGATTTCAGAAAGGAACAGCCTTACCAGTCAGTCATCTTTATCTTATAAATCCTGAAGTTCAGTCATTTAGGCAGTGGTTATACAGCATAAAGCTCAGGTACTGTTGTAAATATCTTGCTTTGCTGTATGCTTGCTCTCCCAGCTTTTAGTGCTGACTCCAAAAAGATTGTTTTCTTCCTGAAGATCTCTCAAGTTGCACAAGGGTACTGTAATATCAACACAACAGGGCAATACATAGGCATTTAATTTTCTTACTTGATGACCATACCTCTAGGGTACTAACTCATTTAGTACTGTATGTATTCATGATGTAGGTAAATAATGGAAAGTTTACAGATTTGTCCATCTAGTAAGAACACTGTTAACCTATAACATAAAATGAACAAATGTCAATATTACAAGGGAAGTGAAAACATGAAGTACAGTCCTAAAGCCCAATGTAATCCAGATGCCTTGATGTTCAAGGTGAAGGAAGGTTCGGTAGCATCTGTCATCTTCTTGTTTGCTCTTCCAGGTAAATTCCACCGTCTCCGTATTGAGGCAGACGAGCAAACCATTTGGGTTGATAAATGTGTGAGCCACGAAAATTACACCAAGGAGACCTCCGATAATGACATAGCCATGCTGCACTTGGCTGAGCCCGTGATGTATAACAAATATGCGCTCCCTATCTGTCTTCCCACCCGCGACCTGGCAGAACAGGAGCTGACAAGAAGTGGGAAGCAGATGGTGGTAACTGGCTGGGGCAGCACAAGCGATGTTAGCAACAATTACTCTACTTTGCTCAGTTATATTCAGATCCCCATGGTTCCCCGGAACGTGTGTGCCCAGGCGATGAGATTTGCTATCTCTGACAACATGCTGTGTGCTGGGAGCTTAGGAGACAAAAAAGATTCCTGCAGTGGGGACAGTGGAGGCCCTATGATCACTAGATATAAGGATACTTGGTTTTTGGTAGGACTGGTGAGCTGGGGCGAAGGCTGCGGAAGAAGGGAGAAATTTGGAGTCTACACCAAAGTTAGTCAGTATCTTGAATGGATCCAGCACCACATAGACGAGAGGTCAGCTTCTTGGAAGGGTTGATTTTGATACTGAGAGTCTGGAATATTGTGGCTATGTGCTAGTGGCAGTATGCAGTGTAATGTACTGTCAGATCTTCAGTATTAAATATTGAGTATATGTTAACCTTGTGTACTGTTTTCCTTGGTACCTATTTCTTTTACTACTTTTTTTTTTTTTCTTTGTTACAGTATTTACATTGGTTAGTTTCCAGGTTATGTTGTTTATTTGTAGCATGGTCCTACTTAGGCCTTAAGGCGAGAAATAATACCCTGTAACATTGAGATGCTGTACGGCATTGTAGAAAATAAGATAGTCCATAGTCAGGCGACTCCATCTTTGAAGTGTAAAATGACTGAATTGCTTGGGGTGGGGGGCAGGAGGGGACAGAGAAAGGTGTTTTAACAGTCACCGTAGTGATACAGTTCTGTTATTTCAGTTTTACTCTAACATAGTATCCACAGCAACCGTTTTGGTTTGCTCTGTATTTGTATAATTTTTCTTTCAAAACAATGAAATTTTAATAACATCATCACTGCATCCACTCATTCACATCCTGCTGCAGTGCTCACAGATTAAGTTGATTAAGCAGGTCACTAGAACTTTTTCTATTCTTTGCACAGTTGATGCCTGATTTCCACACACCCCCCCCCGACTTCCTTAAAAGTCAGTGGGAATTCTGGTGTTATTAAAAAAATGAGGTTTAATTCCAAGCTTTCACATGCTCTATTTATCCTTAGGTTCGTAAATCTCTTCTAATTAGCAAGCTAAGCAAACGTTTTTGTTCGTTCCTTTTCTAGTGAATGCAATCAGCTGCAGGCTATATTAGCATTACTAATGCTTACTGAGAAATATATGTGTGTGTGTTTGCATCCATGTCTGTATGTCTCTGTGTATATCAGTAAACAAAATAAAGCTACATAGCACCAATAAGTTCATAGGAAGTAGCAACAGTCAAAATGAAGTTTAATATCACAATTTATACTTGTTTTTAATCTTAGCGCTTAAGCCTGCTAAATATAATTAATCTAGTAGGAAAAAAATGAAACTAACTCTGCTGTAGTGATGTATGTTTCCAACACCTCAATCAGGATTTGGACCCATATTTGGATCAGTGAAGAACTTCAGTCTGCTCTTGTGATGAGACTGTTAAATGAAAAAACCTCAGGTACAACAAAATTGTATTAAGATTTGTAAGAAATTTAATATGGTGTCAGCAAAGAGGTTTAATACCTCTTAAACTTGTGGACTTAGTCTTGTTGGCTTACAAGCTGCTTACATGCTTAAGCGAGTGCTGAAGTTGATTCATGCATTAAAGAAGTAACAGTCAGGCTAAGGGCTTCATGTTGGAGGTAAGCTGAAACAATACAGTCAGACATCTCTCTGTGTCACTGCTCTGTCTCGCTTTTTCTCTTTTTTTTCCCCTCCCCTTTTTTGTTTGGGACTGGATTTAAGGATCAACGAACATTAAAGAATAATGTGTTGAACAGCAGCCTTCCAGCCAGGGCCTGCACCAAGAACACGTGCTTCTCAGAAGGCTGACGTTGCTAGTCATTGCATTACAAGGAAAAACATTATTGTTGTCAAAGCCAGTAAAACATGGGTCTAATTAAAGGCAGAAATCGTAATGTCAGTGAATAGCTGTGACTATTAAAGGGCAATATTTGCCTTCCTGCAGGTGACCGCTATGAATCCTCCTACACAGTCACAGCTCTGCATATTTCAACAGATGTTTACAGAGCAGCTTGTGTATTTTCCAGATCAGTTGGTCTTACCTACTGAAAGGTGATGGAGTGTCAGAAATCTTCTCTTAAAAATTCCAGATTTTCCTGAAGAAATTTATTGCAAAGAAGTGGCTTTTATTGTTGGGAGGATATTTTTAAGGACTTTTTTTTAAATACACATGTGTACACATGTAGAAACACACACACAATTTTCTTCTGATTTTGGATTGCAAATGTGTTTCATAGAATCCAGAAGGTTGTCTCTCCTCTGTCAATATTTGTGACTGGTTAATGATCAACCTCTTGACCTCATGGCTGTTCCTGGTGTACATCCAAATCTCTCTCCTGTCTTCCCCTAAAAAAATAAAGAAAAGAAAAAAGTGAGTATAACTGCATGGTTCTGTGTAAAATGAATGCATTCTAGATCCTGTGTTTTTGGAAAAATGATACAGGTAGCAAAGAGGTATGTGCTGTTGAATCCTGTTGAATTATTTAGCCTGGGAATGTAATACGAAGAAATACAGACTTCTGTCTTGTAACTTTTACTGCCAGGTATGTGGTGGATGGTTTCCTCACTGGGGTTTGTGCATTCGGTCTTACTTGACAAGACCATCAGTGATTACACAGCAGCTGCCGTCATTAGCAACTGCTGGCTGAAGCGTGCAGCTCAGCCCTCAGCCTGGGATCCCTCACAGTTTAAACAAGGCTGTTGCTGGAACTGCCGTCTGTTCGGTGTGGGCCTGATCCATGCCTCCCCTGTTCACCATAGCTTTTTTTATTACTTCTATGTGCTTTGGATCAGACCCTCCACCACATCCTGGGCTAGGTCAATCTCTGCACGTTGCCTTGCGAATTGTTGGGATTCCCATGGTAGCGTGCAGCATCGTGTGACTTGGAGAAACAATGGAAATCAGATCAAAATGAACTGGGTAGAATTTGCTTTCTTTCGCCCTTCTTTTGTCCTCTTGCTTCTATTTCTTCATCTTTTTTGCAGGCTAATTCACCCTTGTTTTTGTGACAATATGCCAATTTCATTCTTCTTTTCCTTCTGAAGGAAATCAGCAGACAGTTTAAACAAGGCTGTTGCTGGAACTGCCGTCTGTTCGGTGTGGGCCTGATCCATGCCTCCCCTGTTCACCATAGCTTTTTTTATTACTTCTATGTGCTTTGGATCAGACCCTCCACCACATCCTGGGCTAGGTCAATCTCTGCACGTTGCCTTGCGAATTGTTGGGATTCCCATGGTAGCGTGCAGCATCGTGTGACTTGGAGAAACAATGGAAATCAGATCAAAATGAACTGGGTAGAATTTGCTTTCTTTCGCCCTTCTTTTGTCCTCTTGCTTCTATTTCTTCATCTTTTTTGCAGGCTAATTCACCCTTGTTTTTGTGACAATATGCCACTTTCATTCTTCTTTTCCTTCTGAAGGAAAGCAGCAGGAAGTCAGAGTATTCTGAATGCTCACTAAAATGGAGAGCAGTTCCTCACTTGTGATGTTTCTCCTACTGATGTGCTCCATCAACAGCAGCTGTCTGTTTTCATATTCAGGTAGGTACTTCTGATTTTTAACTTGTCAATAACGTCTTATTGTGACAATCTTGGCATTTGAACTGAAACGGCATTCCTTTTCTGAACACAAAGTCCTATGGGTTGAAGAAGCACTTCCTGAAATGTACAAGAGAAAAATAAATATTCATATATATTTCCAAGAGAAATCAGCCTTTCTTAACTTCCTACTTAGACCACTATCCTGTTGAAAAGTATTCTCCTTGTGATGTTGAACCCATAATCTGAGTTATTTTTGCATGGCAATGTTTTCAAATTCGGGAAGCTAAAATTAGGCATTTTCAACATGTGTTCTCAACCCTTGTGTTGATTTTACTACAACAACTATGCAAGGTTTGGAAATGGCTTCAGAGAGCTTTAGAACAGGCGTGAGAATGCAGAGGACCTCACAAATCGTTATGGCTGTCCTTGCAGAGGAGGAAGAGCAGAAGCAGAACTGGTATCTGCAAACCAGCAGGCTTTACAACAGGCATATCCTCTATGTGATGGTACTTAACCATAGGTAAATGCTTTAAAGATGACCCCAGAACTCAAGGGGTGGTGAAGGGCAATTTCACTGACGTAAGTGAAAGACATTTTTTCCATTACCAGACAGCAGGAACTGTCCAAAGCTTTTCTCAGCTAAGAGGTTTTGTTGACTGTTTCTGATTGCCTAGAAATGAAGCATTTTAACATTATTCTAGAATTTCAGTCATTGCTATAGATACCAGTCGTGCAACTGCAAAGAAATGTGCGTCTTTATGGTCCATCTCCAAAACTGGGTTCTTTCTCAGAGGGTTTTGACTTGTCTAGGACACTAAACCATGACTAGGAAAACAGGGTACTCTTAAATGAACTGCTGTATGAATTTTAGTAGGCTTTGTCAGGATTACCAAGTGAGCTTGCTTCTTAAAACACTTCTCAGCAGCAGTTTTTCACAATCAGATGGGTTTTGGATATAGAGCCACACTTCTGGAGATTTAACAAAAAAGTAAAAACCTCCATCTGCTCTAAATAGTGACTCGGGACTCAATTCAGTCACCGCACGTAAGTGTCTGGAGGTGCTTGAGATGGCACATGGTGTCAGTACATCCACAAGGGCTGAGTGAGCCCTAGTTTTCCTTCAGAGCATCCTGGCTGGAAAATCCTGGGAACACTGTGCTTCAGCTAGAGGTGCCCTAGCAAAGATCAGGGTGTATGTGGGGAGGATCTGACTGCCATATTCCTTCTTCTGACCGCCCCTCCCTTAATTTATGGGCAGGAATAGCTCTTAAGACATTGTGGTAGGAGGGCAGATAGCTTAGTGAAGTGAAGTTGAGATGAACTAAATATAAGTACAAAACTGACACTTTCATGAAGGAGTGGTGTCTGTCCTGTTGTGGCCACAGTAGCTACCTGGAAAGCACTGGGTCTCCATTACTGAATGTCTAACAAAGCTGACACCAAATACAAACCAAACCTCTCCTTTCAGCTTTATTTCCACATGCACACACAGCCAGGCAACTAAAAATTGTTGTGAATCAGGATGGTTAGGCAGAAAAATATAACCAGCCTCCAAAGAAGAAGCTGCAATACTCAAGAGTCTTGTGGAATAGAAAATTATTTCTGCACTAATCTGCAAGTCTTGCTAGTGGATCTTTTGATCCACTGAAAACTTAAACTACTAGTGTCTTTTGTTGGAACACAGACTAATTTTATTTTCCTTTGGGCTGTTTACATAGATTCCTGCTCCCCTTCTTTATATTGTTTACTTAACTGAAAGAGTGCATGACTGTGACTGTAATGTTGCCAGTTTGTTGTCTTCCAGTATCAACTGTTCGATTTTGTTTTTCTAGTGTTTATGAGAAAAGATGAAGCACACGAGGTGCTGAAAGTCCATAAACGTGCTAACTATTTTCTAGAAGAGATTCGTCCGGGGAACTTGGAGAGAGAATGCAATGAGGAAAAGTGTTCATTTGAGGAGGCTAAGGAGATCTTCCATTCGCAGGAGAAAACAGTGAGAAACTTTATGTTAGGAAAAATAGAGGAAAGTTAACAGTAAGCTGTAAGTAATCCTTCCCAAGCCAGCTGGCATGGCTCTGACAGGTGTGTGCCTATGGATTCTGCAGCTTGGTAGTCAGGATGGGTCACTCAAGGCACCTGTGAGATCTCGCTTTCTAAGCCAGGGCTCAGTTTGTTGTGTAAACCTTAAACACAATTCCTTAAAAGTATCCAAAACCGATTTCTGTGAGAGCCTCAATACAGCAACGTGATTCTGACATTTTCAGAGGCCGCTTGCTTGATTAGACCCCTCCGAATACAGAGGAGGAGCGCCTCGTTCCCAGGGCCCGATAGCATCCAGCTGGGAAGCGGGGCTGCAGGCGCTCTGCTGGGGGCCTTCTGCTGAAGCAGGAGTTTGAACTGCAATTTTAAATGGAGGTGCCTAATTTCTCTTGTGTCTAGCCCGAGTTGCTTAGGTGATGTCTTCCTTGGCACGTAGTGCAGTGCAGTAGAAATGGCTGTTAAGAGTGAAGCAGTTGGTGCTGAGGCCCTTGCACTGACACATTTTTGTGGGGAGCCAGGGGTGTCACTTGAAACCCCTAGGCTGGTGCCAGAGACCTTTCACTGGCCGGAGCATTTATGGATCTAAGCTTTCAGTTTAATTTTCATTCCAATACAACCCAGTTTATGCACTCTCTGGCTGGTCCATGATGCAAATGAAAGCGAGCTGCCTGGTGATGATCAGGAGATCTGCTCTGAGAATGTATTTCATGGTTTTAATCAAAATGTTAATTTACATGCACCCTAAAAAAACAGTTTTTTATATTATATCTTCACTAACCAATATGACCACTTATTGACTGTTTTCTTCATTTGCGATTTCTTCTTGCAGATGGAGTTTTGGTTCAATTACAAAGGTAGGTAAAAAAGGAATTTTTAAAAAATCTATTTCTTGTGTCACTTCTGGGTACAAAGAATTATGTGGCAATTTAAAGCCATGCTTCTCTTAATTCCTGGAATTACACTATGCCTTGTTTCTTCTTAGGTTTAAATCCATGTAGTACAAATCCCTGTAACAATGGTGGAGTCTGCAAAATAAGACACTACAATTACTTTTGCATCTGCCCCCCAAAATTTGGAGGAGACAACTGTGAAAAAGGTGAGTAGAGGAACAGACACATTGACGTTCATTGTGAAGGAAGGATTGAGGCTGGAATTTGTTCCTTGGATACTTGAGCTGAACCTTTGTACAGGCTTCTCACTGGGATTATCAGTGGTGACTTTATCTGATACAGAACGGGTCGGTTGTTTAAGATTCATACATCAGAACAGTGTTTTCTTGTACGGCGTGTTGGGGCACGGCCACCCTAGGAGGGGAGTCACGTTGTGACAGCGGCTGTGGCTACGCGTAGCTCTGCTCTGCGGAAGAAGGGGGTAGCACCACCTCCTGTCATACAGCAGCTGCAGTTCTGGGCTCTTGCACTCATCTGCGCAAGCCCTGGGGAAGGCATGTGGCCATTCCCATCTCTCCCCAAGAAAGGACAGGGAATTACCTCTTCTTATCACTTTAGAGCGATAACAAGTCTAGTAACTCCTGCCATAGGCACCTGCACTGGAGATATTCTTCATGGTGAGGCCCTAGTCTCTTTTTATTTTTATTGAGTAAATGCATGAAACAAATTAGCTAAAGCTTAGTGTAAACAAAAAAAAAAGTTGTATTTATGTTGTAATATACAAATAATGAAAAATGAAGTAGAAAAGCTGCCTCTCATCAGATTTTTGGTCCTCTGAAATACTGTATCCGGTTTGCAAATGACTGAGGCATAAAATTACAGCAAAAGCCAAACGGATGTGGAAACTATGAATCATAAGTAATTTTTTTTTCCCCAAGTGCTTTGTCGACCTTTTCTTTTTACAGTGAAGCAATTAAACATGATTTTTTTTTAATATAACAATGTATAAAAAAACTCAGTCAATTTCTCGCAGCCTTGGCCCCCACCAAAATGCCTAGTCCTTTAAATCTGTCATGATATGAAAGATAGGATGTGCAGGTGGATCAAAAATGGATGCATTTAGAGGTGTTTGCTCTTCCAGGCGTTTTCTTGCCCCTGCTCTACAGGCAGAAAGGCCTGGAGCCCAGCTGTGGCCTGAAGACAAAGCTGGCAAATAAGAAAATGGTAGAAACAGGTGAACAACAATAGACATAAAGCAATGTGTTTGGTTCGCTACAAATCAGCGTGGTTTTCTGGAACTGTAAGGGGTAGCTCCTTCTGTTTCCCTGCGAGCTTTCAGCAGATATTTTTTCTACTTTCTTTCATATAATAATAGTGCTAGAAGCTGTGCGCTGCTCAGGGGTCCATGTGTAGCAATAACACAGCGAATGCCTGTGCGTTTCCATCGCAGAAAAGTTTGAGTGCTGGTATAAGAACGGTGGGTGCTGGCAGTACTGCAGGGACAGCAGCAGCGCCTTTCAGGTGGTATGTTCCTGCGCAAAGGATTACACCCTGCACGAGGACGGGAAGAGATGCGTGCAAGCAGGTAAAGCATGGTCGGCTCAGAGTGACTTTAGGTAAAGAGCAATTCACAGGCACCGTCTGTTCCTCTTTGCTAGTTGCAGAAGAGCTACACATGCTGTAGCTACTGCAGCTTGCACTTAGTGTATGGAAAAGATCTGTCTTATTTATAATGTTTTGTTTATTTATTTTAAATTTTAAGGTTCTTCTCAATCAGGTGTCTCTCTAATCCAGTGTCCCTGTGTGCACATACTGGGTAAAGGAACAGCAGTACAATCTGGGGTGGGCCTGTTCCTTCCCACAGCAGCACAGACTTAGAGCAACTGAACTGCATTACGAAGCTAAGGGACATGACAAGGGTCTTTAAAGCTTTGTGCTAAGGCATCCTGTCACAAGGGGAGCGCTGGGTTTGGAGTCTGTCCTGAAGCGAGCCCTCGGCTGGCTGTTCTGGGGGAAGCGAGCCCTCGGCTGGCTGTTCTGGGGGCAGCCAGCCGCGGCTGCCGCCCGGGGGGGCGGGGGGGACCGCCGTCCGCCCTGGCGGGTGTTTGGGGGGGGCGCCCCCCCGCGGCTGCTGCCGGTGGGTCAGGAGAGCACAGCCGACTGCTGTGTTTCTTGGTACCTGGCTCTGCACGCCTTGGTCAGAGGAGGGCGGGGGTGGGTGGCCAAAGTGGAGTTTGACATCAAGGTGTCAGAGTTATTCCTGGGCTCTTACAGGAGGGGTGAATCCCATTGTTGGACAGGAACAGTGCTGCTTTTGCGTTGGAGTTTGACACGATGCCACGCACCCTAAACTCAAATCTTTATTTCTGTCTTTCCTCCCTCCAGCACCATTTCCATGTGGCCTGATTAAAGCCAGGCAGGCTCCGGAGGAAGCTTGGCTGGGGCAAAAAAGGCTCCCGAGGGGACTGCGTGAGCACGGGGATGATGTGGCCAAGTGGAATGAGAGCATGGAGGGCACGGTTAGGCAAACGGAGCTGGAACAAAGCGCTGTTGGGGAAAATGAGACCGTAAAGGGTGTCTTTGGGCAGAGTGCGCACATGGAGGGTGATGCTGGACAGACCGAGGTGGCAGGAGATGCTTCCAGCTGGAACAAGACGCTGGTGGACTCTGTTAGCCAGCAGCCGCCGGGGGCTGGTGCTGCTGGGCCAGAGGCGGGTGCCCCTGAGCAGGATGAGGCAGCGGAGGGGACCGCCGGGCCTGGCGAGGCCGGGAGAGGCCCGGCTCCCTGGGGTGAGCCCACCCAGGGCCCTGCATGGCAGAGCGAGACCACAGCGCCTGCCGCCAGGTGGAGAGAAATGGTGGAAGATGCTGCTGGGCGAAACCAAACAGGGGAGCGTGCGGGCCAGCACAGACCAGGGGCCGTTCCAGCCCCACGTGACGGGCTTCATCAGAGCAGTGACTGGGGAAATGTTTCAGGCACGCCTCAGGTCGTCCAGATAAACCTCAGCTCTACTTCAGTGCACAATGACTCCAGGATAACGGGAGGAACTGTGTGTCATCGTGGCCATTGCCCCTGGCAGGTAATACTTTTCTTCCAGTCTGGCCATAAACACCACACCTGAGTGCTTTCCTACGTTATCGTCACTGGCTCCAGCTGGAGCAGTGTTCATCAAGCCATTATAAAGTTGTTTTTCAGGTGGCGAGCAATCCAACCACGTGTATTTCTCAAACTTCTCCAGGCCTTTTTGATGATGGGTATCTTAGTTGCCTTTTTTATCACTCTTTC